CTCTCTCTCTCTCTCTCTCTCTCTTTGTGACCAAAAAAGAACTTTTGCTTCCAGTTTCTAGTTTGATGGTCTGACCATCCAGCCCAATCCAATATGTTTGATGAAATTCTCTTCATCCTTACTTTTCGGGGAAAATCATTTTACTTTGAAAGGAATTTCAACAGAACCCTCAAATAGTTAGGGGACCCTCCTGGTTATTAATAGCACTGGGATCTCTTGAAAGCAAAAACCATGTAAACACTTTGACAGCATGGCATTTGGTCTCACATCCAGAACTTCTCCTCTTCCTCACGGCTGAGCTCACTAATAGGAATGGCAGGATCCCTGCTGAGGATAAAGAATGGCCCCCCATCCTTGATGCTCGATAGAGACAGGTTCCTTGTCAGGGACCCAAATTCCCAAATGTTTTAAATTAAAATTATTTTAAAAAATCAATTTGCTTAAAAAAATGAATTCTTAATTAAAAATATTTTAAATATATTTTGATATAAATTATATTATATGTATTTAATATATATAATCAGGATTGAGTCAGGTCGGAGAATTCACTCTCCAGAGTCTAGTCTCCATCCTTATCCCATCCTTAATTGGGTATCACTATCAGTCCCCATCCCCAACAAAGCAATCTCCATCCTCGACTTAAAGCCAGGTACCTGATGGGGATGGAGAAAATTACCATTCCTACCCAATACAAATGCCGGTTAGAATCTTGGGTCTGGGCAACAAGGCAACAACAACATGTTAGTTCAAGGCATTATAGCTTGGGCTATGTGACTTCTTAGGTCAGGCCAGGCCAGACCATGATTTTGCTCTAGCCCTATGTCTTGAATGTATTTGGTTTTGGTGATGCTTAGGGTAGTTTGGTCATTTGAGAATGTAGAAGTAGAAGTAGAACCACAAATTACAAAATCATAAATCCCAACGACGTGTATTTGCTTTCACTAGTTCAAATTGAAAGGTGCTTTTGTCTTCTTATCTCCACGTGTCCTATCCGTACAAAAATGAATTCGACCGTTGGAATCCCCTCCATCCCATACAACAGCCAACCCAACTTGAGAATAGTTCTTCTTTAGAGAGAACGCCTCCTCAGACTCAAACTCTGCAGCGAGGTCTGGAATCCCATGGTTCCGGCAATGAAATACCCATCACCCTTGATGCTCTCAAAGTCCCCAAGTCATTCAAGTACTTTGAAAGGTGACGGATTTTTCCACAGAAGCTTCAACAAACACATTAATGGGTTTCTTTTTCTTCCTGCTTATTCTATAACTCTGTGATTACTTACAATGCAGGTATATGAGCCCGACTGATCGACTGATGTCTCCCATCTCCAGAGGCCTTATGGCAAGAAATAAAGGCAGGACCCCTCTTGCCACCGGCTAAAAACCCACCAAAGGTATACAACTTCTTAGAACTCAATTAAATTCTTGCAAACATATAAGAAAATCAAGTTGCCCAACCCATAAATTATAGAGATGTAATCCCCAAAGCTGTCCTCCCCAGGAGGTGGCTCTATTTGAATCCAGTTAAACAACCGAATAGATTACTCACTTTACTTTCTTTGTTGTTGCAGCTACTTGATGATCAGTGTCTTCAGGAAGTGGGTCTTTCACCAGTCTGAGTATTTAACACCATTATGGATAAGAAAATCATGGATTTTTAATTCTTGTTTTCCATGTTTTACAGTTAATGGATAATCTTTCATTTAAAGAAATTTGTATTCAATCTTCAGATAATGCATCTACAAAGTATTTAAATTCTTTAATTTCCATCCCTTCATTTGGAATTGCTTAGAATCAATATTTTCGTGATTTAGATGTTGAGAATTTGTTTCTCGTTCTCACCAACTTGGTACCATTGGGATTGGACTAAACCAATTTCTCCATTGATCTCCGTCCACAAACAAACTTAATTTACAATGTGAGAGAGACAACATCATTGGTTTTGAATCTTGTTAGGTATGTGGTTCCTAGTTCTAACCTGTATTTATTTCAACCTGAGCTTTAGATCCTCCTCAAAGACAAACTCAGTGTAAATATCATTTCACAGTTCTGATAATGTCTCTGATCAATTGGGATAACATTCACAAGCTAAGCATTCAAGCTCTGAAATTTCTCCGGGTGTCGGGCTCTGTATAGGGATGTCAGTGGGTCGGGTTGGGTGGTAAGCTCGCATTGACCCGAGCCTATTGGGTTAAAGTCGGGCCGGCCTACATTGGGTCGGTGGACATGCCCGTTGACATTAGGGCTGCAAATGGATCGGATTTGGTAAAGGGTATACCCAATCTGATTCGATAAGAAATCTGACCGATTTGAATTTGGCAAGAATCCCTAGAATTTTCAAGAGTATGCTTTGAATTCGAATATCTTATCCGATATCTGATTTGATTAGAATTGTAATAAAAACGATAGGATTAATATAATATATATAAATAATATATAAAATATAATATTTCATAACTAACGATTAGATGGGGTCGTGACAGATCTGATTGGGTATATTTTAATTCGATCCTTAACTATAAACTGGATTCAGTCAGTGCAAAGTCCATTCGAACAATCATTATAGCTTTGCATTGGGAATATCTCCCCATGAAATAAAGAATAGAAGTACGGAGATATCCTGATGCAAGGCTGTAAAGACTGTTCGAACAAGCCTTGCGCTGACTGAAGCCGGTCTCCATTAACTAAACCGATCAAGTTTTTTTTCCCTGATCCAATCAGATTTATTATGATCAAAAGAGCTATCCGAATCTATTTCTTACCAGATTGAATTCGGAATCTAATCGGATCTGATCAGAACCTATTTGCAATCCTAGTGGACATCCCTACCTCTCTCTCCCATTGCTTCATCTCTCGTCAAACCATCATATAAAAAATTCAGATTAGCTGAACACTTTAGTTGCTTTTTATTTTTTTAGCACTATGTTCCTCTTTTAGCATTCTTCCAATCCACTTTGAAATTGTTATGTTATTGTTAAACATCTCCAAATTCCAAGAAGAGCATTTCACAAGTATTCCGTTTTACGAGTGGGCCTTGATTAACAAGTGTTTCATTTTATCTATTTTTTTTGAAAATACACAAAAAATGGGATGCAGGTTGATTGGGCATTTAAAGTGAATTTACTTAATTTATGATATATTTATAATGACAACTATGTGACATCTCAGAGAAATTAATTAGCTTTTTTCAAATTTTAATGTGCCATGTCACCAGTGTGATTTCAAAAACCCCTCTTTTACCGAATTCCAAAGTTAATCATTACAAAAAACTTTTTTTTTTTTAAATAGAATTGCCAAATGGGATTTTTTTGCCAATTCCATTTAATTGCTGATGTGACACATATGACACATCAACAAAAATGAAATGCTTTGGTGCCAAACACCCACTTTGATCCTGTTTTTGTCGGATTCATATATCTCCATATTGGATTTTCGGTTTACAAATTAAGATCACCCATATTTGATATTTATAAATATGATATATATATATATATATATATATATATATATATTGCATTTTTGTAATTTTTATATTATTTATTCTTATAAGAAACATGTATATATATGATGAAAATAGTTGAAACAATACTTCTTTTTATTTAACTATTATATTTTCTTTTTCCTATTAATAATTTATTATTTAAATTAAATTGAATTGGATCATATTCAGATATCTGACATCCTTATCGAATTCAAATTCAAATTCAATGTTTTTGAAATCCAATCGAATCTTCATATTGGATCTACATTTATAGTACCAGATCATATTCCGATATACCCTTATTTGAATCTAATCCTATTAATTTGCATCCCTACTACCTAGCTAGTATGGAGCTCAATTCACCTCTCTAAAGTCTAAACAAATCTATACTATCTATAAAATAGTGAATGCCCCCTTCTTTCTGGAATTTTCATTGGATGTTTTCCATTCCTCTTGTGTAAGCATACAATAGACATAAAGAGGGCATATATGTCATTTACTTTCACTTTAGAAACTACCCACTTATAACCGTTTAGAAACTGCCCATAAATTATAAATAGTTGTCTTAGAGATACTACCACCGCAAATGCACATACACGTGCTATAAAGTTTGTCAAACTAGGGTTTTGTTTGATAAAGTTTAGAAGCAAAATAAGTGATTTATCAAAAAAAAAAAGCAAAATGAGCAAAAAAGAGATTTTATTTTTTTATATCCATTTTTGTAAATTCATATATTTGTCCATATAAATCTTGAAAGGGCATTCTAATAAAATAACTTCCTTCGTCGATGCATTAAATGAAAAGAGGAAAAGTAAAGAGTATTTGTTGCAAATGAAAATTTGAGGAAGAAAATGACAGAATTAAGACTAATTCACATCTATGCCCCACGGAGCGTGCCTCACCGCACATCACAATTAGGGGTGAGCATTCGGTTAAAAATTGAGTCGAATAAATCAAATTTATAAAATATAAAACTGAAACCGAAACTGAATTATTAATATTATATTAATACATATTATATATTATATATTAATATATTTATATATATTATATTATATGTATATATTAATATATTTTAATATTTTATATAATATATATTATATACATTATAAAATGTTATATTACATATATAATAAATTTCGGTTAATTCGATGTTTTTGATTAACCGAATTTCCAATCCTGAAAACTAAAACCGAAACCAAATATTTTTAAAATCAAATTAACCGAACCGTAAAAAACTAAACCAAACAAACCGAACAATGCTCACCCCTAATCGCAACCGTATATTAGTTCGGGAGATGTTACCAATGCACGTTCAGATGTGAAACTAATTAATTTAAAAATCGACGACCGTTAGATGTGATAGAGGGCGGGGCCCATTGTTTAGATGGCTGCCACGTTATGCGTTTCGCGCGCGCAAGCGGGAAACAAACACACGAAGCCAACTCCGAGAGCGTGTGAGTTCTCCGTTCAAACTTCAAACTTGCTACATGAATAGAGAATAGAGAGGAGGTGTGTATTGTGCGTGAGATAGGAATCAGAGAGAGAGTGGCCGGTGGATGGCGCGAGCGACAACAAGATTTGGTTATTTGGGAGCCGAAGTCGCCGAAAACGTCGCACTGCCTCCCGTCCGGAGCCATCATGCAAATCCTAATTCCCCTCCCCCTATCTCCAACTCGCCTCTTTTCCAACTCCTGATTTCCTCCTCTCCTTCTGCCGGACAAGGCAGCGGCAACAGAGGGAGGGTGTCAAGGAGAGGAGAGGAGAGCGAAACAGCAACACAGAAAGAGACCCCCTCTCTCTCCTTTCAGCTCCACCTGTTATCCACCCCTTATTCCAGGTAATTTTAAGCAGAAGGAAATTATTCGATTACTGTAATGTCTTCTTTTATCCTCTGTTCCAAATAATCATGCCAAATAAGCTTATGGGTTTGTTTTGTTTCTTTTCTTCCTTTTGGATTTATGTAGGYTTAATACGGAACAAAGTTGGGGATTATTCACTCTCTGGAAATGGTTCAAGAAGCTAGATGATTCAATTTCAAGTGAGGTTGTTTATTTATATTTATTTGTATTTCTTTTGTGTGGTATGCCACATTGCTTTGGTGATTGAAAACCAAGGTGATTCAAGAAACATCATTTTGATTATTCAAGAACCCCTCTCACAAATCCCAATACATAGGTTGTATTTCGTACCATTGCTGTTTCTACCTGAAATATTTTGAATTTATCAATACAAATTGGTGAGAGATATGTATTGTTCACATCACATGTGAGAATTATTTCGGCTAGAATGAATTAGACTTCAACCCCCCTGGAGCAAGAAACACCAATTTGATGTTTCTAGCATTTTTAAGGTATGTCTATTTCAACCATAAATAGCCTCAAATAATAATTGTCCAATTTATATTTACCAACCCAACATGTTTCAGGTAGAAACAATGATACTAAACACAACCATAACCATTGCAGCAATGTTTTCTTTTTCCCTAAAAATGGCTAGCCAGACTTGATTCAATGGTGTTTCCATTTTTTTTCCTGGTGTGGCAAACTGATGAAGCAGAACACCTGTGAAATGCATTGATGCCGAACACATATTAGATTTGTATAATTTTTTCCTCTCTCCTCTCTCTTGCCAATATTATCTTTATTCCAGTAAGTAGTATTACCACTCTCATGGTGCATTATTCTATCCTTTCTATGGTAAAAAATAAAAAGCTTACATGTCTATTTGCCTCCCTTCTTGCATCATATTATAGGTAGGAATGACATGTTATTTATTTATTTTTGACAAAATACAGCGATGAGTTGTTGACATTGTTATAAGACACCTCAAGCCTGCATCTGATTCCATAACTTCAACCATGGAATCTGGACATGGGAATACCGAGGATACTGTTCGTGAAGTTAGAATTCAACGTTCATCATCATTGTCGTCATCATCATCAGACTCGTCATTGGATGAACAATTTGAAGTGGACAGAAACTTAATTGGCGAATCCAACCCAGTCAATGATGAGGTTGCTCAGTTTGCTTTTAAAGATGCTGAGAGGAATGCCTCTAGTATTTCGTCTCCCAAATTTGGAGAGTCTGAGAAAGGGATGCCAGGATTCACATATCGACCGCAATTGTCCAGTACTACTCTTGATTTGGGCTTAGACAATGGTTTATCAAAACAATCCCCTCCAGTCCAAACGATGGACCGGTATGATGTGCCCGATCCATATAGGATCCCAGCTTCTGTGTTTGAAAGAAGTAAGTCCACAACACCATTGGAATGGAGTGTGGCTTCCAATGAGTCATTATTCAGCATCCATGTTGGTAATAATAGCTTCTCCAGAGACCATGTTTATCTGTTTGGTAGATCTGGAGAGCTGACTTTATCTGGTGAATTGACAAAGTCCGGAGAGTTGAAGATGCTCCAAAGTAGCTCGCCCCCTGCTAATATACCATCACTCTCTCCTCACAAAGATACAGATCTGGGGGATAGCCTAGGTGTAGCTGAAGCAGCCGCTGAAACCATGAAGGAGGTTTTAAGGACAACTGCAGAAGACAAAGAAAAGAATCCTCCTGTTGATGTTGTCCGCCAGTCATCTAGCACATCTCGTCGTTCTGATGCTAGTGCGACCAGCATTCAATCTTTTGCTTTTCCGATGTAAGTTATATCATCTTCTGCCACATTAAGTGATAGAAATATATTTCCAACATTTGTCTATACCAAGATATTAAAATATTTATTCTTATACAGGCATGTAGTTCTGTGTGTATTGTGCACATAAAACTGCATCTTGGGTACATAATATTTGTGTCCAGTATGGAATGTTGTCTTATGCTTGTATGTATGAGAAATCTTTGCAAACAAGTTAAATAAATTTACATGTGGATCATAATGTATGTTTTATTATATAAAAAGTGGCCATGCCACTAATGTTGTGTGCCAGGATGCCATCAATATGCCCTTCAATTGTTGCAGAAAGAAAATCTGTGCATGTCCATTCTGCTACCATCCATGGCCATAATGGTCTTGTATAATTACATAGAGGCGTCATGGTTGTGTCCTACTGCATGCAACTAAACTAGTCCTGGGCCTTTGCAGATTGACAGGGGAAGGTGGAGGTAGAAGTGGCTCAGTGAAGGCGGATCCTGAACAAAATCAACAACCACAGTCACAGACCCCAGGAGCAACCCCGGATGCAGCTCAAAATAAGTGGTTCCCTTGTTTCTCCTGTTGCCCATTTTGTTGTTGATCAGAGAGTGGGATCTTCCAGATTTTCTCATTTTATCCTATGACAAACATACGAAAGGATATAAGTATATTGTCTAACTTGCCCTTTAGGTGTTTGTAAATGGGGTCTTTATATGAAAGTTAAATACTTGGTTTTGATTCTTTTGAATCTTCTTCTTTTTTCTTCTTCAGTCGCATTATAATAAAACTCGGAACCATGTTAATTATAAAATTTGCATGGGTATACAATAAGACTTCTATATTAGATACGTTGAGTGAGGTATGGGTACATAGAGCTGACAATAATAATTGAGTAAGTGCTGCAACCATGACTGTAACAACCTTCTGTTCAATGGTATCAAGCTGCAGCCTTTACATCATTTATGATCAATTTTAGCTGAACTGTAGTGAACGCAATAGTTGTTCACCAGGTTGTGGAATTAATAATAACACTCCACACCAAATACTAAAATAATAATAATAATAATAATAATAATAATAATAATAATAATAATAATAATAATGTAATATTTTTACAAAATAATAAAATAATACTATAATATTAAAATGTTTTATTATTAATTGAAAAATATTATTTTCTTATTAAGATATTAATTTATTAATATTGAAATAATAAACAATATTTTATATTATGATTTCTTATTACTTTGTTATAAAATTCTAATAAGGTATAGTAAGATTGTGTTACTAATAATAAATAATGAATAAAATGCATGACGGGCATTTTGGGGACAAAATTTAAGAGTGTTGTGAGGTATTTGAATTTAATTATAAGAGGTGTTCAATTAATAGTGTGAAGTGTGAAAAAAATATTGCTTTTAAGATATAAGAATTGCAAAACAAACAAGGCCTTAATTAGACCTGTTCATGGGCTGGGTTGCCCAACGACCCAACCTGATTTGATTTGTTCTTGGTCAAGTTTTGACATTATTTCAGGCTTGCAAGTTCCGACTTGGGCCCAAAACATTAGGCTTGACTTTTTTACTAGTAGGGCTCAGGCTTAGAAAAATCCGGCCAAGCTAGAGCCCGAGCCTAATAATATTTTATTTAATAAAAAATATATTATATATTTCTTTATTCCTTTGTTCTTTTTTTTTCAAGCAATAGTGAGAAGTTTCAACATTTTTGGGTTATAAGGTCATTTATTATAAATAAATCAGTTTTTTTATTGAGTAAGAAAATAATATATATATATATATATWTTTTTTTCCCAATTTTTAGGCTGTGCTTTAAGGTTTGGGCTTTATAAGAAGGTCGGGCTCTAAAACCAATGGTCGGACTTGGGACTGAATGTATTCTATTAATAAAGAGATAAAGCCTGGCCCAAATCAGCCCCGACTCGGCCCTTGAAACAGGTCTAGCCATAATCATACTGGGATTGGGGAAAAATTTGGCTGTCTCTTGTCGACAAGAATTCCTATCAACTTTCTACCTTGTTGTGACACGTTTTTATGACACTAACGTTAACATACAAAATGAATAAAAACCTTAAAAAACAAATTTAATTTCTTTAACAAAATTACAAAAGAATTCCATTTGCCCACGTGTCTTCTCTCCCTCTCCTCTTCTTTGTCTCTCTCATGGTCTCACTCTCCCCAACCGCTTCATTGGCCCCAAGATCCTCTCTCTCTCTCTCTCACCTAATCCATCCGAGAGAACCAGTCATAGCCATTTGCCGTCGGTAGAGCCAGTTGCAGTCACAGACACTGATAATCCGCAAAAATCTCCTTCAAAGAATGGTTGTCTGATGCAGACAAGGTTAATTGTATTTGACAAAGGCATGCACCTGTTCTGATTCATGGGATTATCGTCAAGAGTAGCACCGAATTGATCTTGCTGGGTTCCACCACGGAAATGACTCTAATGAAATCGTTGAATGGGTTGGGAAGTTAGTGAATCCTTTATCGGATGAAGAAATACTTTCTCATAGGACGACCAGAGGGTGGCCTTCGTCTTCTTATTTCGCTTTGAAATGGAAACCAGTGGCAACCACGGAATGGTGAGAAAATGGTATTGGCAACTGCAAAAAATTCCGACTAATGCTGGTGGCTGCTCTGCTGAGAGAAGGGGGATGAGAGGGAGAATGGGGCAAACGAAAAGGAGAGGAAAGAGAGGGTGATCTTGGGAATCTTGGGGGGAGAGAGAGATAGGAAATGGCAATGGAGAGAAGAGAGAGAGAGAGAGGACGCCGATAGAACTGGTGAGACCGTGAGAGAGACAAAGGAGAGGAGAGGGAGAGAAGAGACATGGGCAAGTGGAGTTCTTTTGTAATTTTGTTAAATAAATTAAATTTAAAATAAAAATAATGGAGAAGTGATTGGCCCAATTCACATTTCTGATTTGTACTGCAGAGCTATAAACATTCAAAATGGTAATAACATATACTTTATGCATCAACTTCTCCCGATGAATTGACATTAATTCCGAGCTGTCATCTACCCCAATAGTATTTTGTGTCTAAATTCTGATCCTGAACTAAACCGCCTTTCTCCCTAAAAATAAATATTTTTTTAAGGTTTTTATCATTTTCTAAGTTAACATTAGTATAGAGTGTCATAAACACGTGCCACAACAAGGTAGAAAGTTGACAGGAATTCCTATGGAGACAACCAAAATTTTCCCCCATTGTGCATCTTTTAATTTATAGATTGCATTTGAGTTTTCACCTAAAGCTTGTTTGTTATGCAAGTTCATTTGCACTAACACAAAATGCATAAGAGTGCAAATGAGAAGAATGCAAATTCTGATTCATTTCAACATCTTTGTTTTGTTTACATCTCGTCTTCAATGTAAATGAAAAAAAAAAAACAAAGTGAAATCTGAAACAAAAATAAATAAAAAATTGCTGTCATATAGGGGTGTCAATTTGGTCCGATCCGATCCAGTCTAACGTGAATTCATTATAAATGGATCAAGTCCAATCCAATGAATATTTTGGACCAGCCCAATTTAATGTCTAGACCGTCAAATATGTTCAAATTAGTTTTGATTTAGATTGGTTTCAACCCAAAATCGGTCTATTGACACCTATATTCTTATCTTATACAAATAGACCAGATATTAGTTCAATCTAATCTAATCCAATCCAATATAAATTTATTACAGACAAACCAGATCTAATTCAATCTAATAAATATTTTAGGTGGGTTTGATCCAATCCAATGTCTTGTTGGTTTGTCTAATCTGTCCAAATTGATTGGGTCAATCCAAAATCACCCATACTCTCGTATAACAGTTGAAGTGTTCATTGACAACATCTCATAAAAGGCAACAATGAGGTCGCCCCATTCATATTAATGATTTTTTTTTTTTTTTGGTGGAATTTGGATTTATTCCTCACGAAACGCACCTCACCCAACCTCATGTTGTAGTGGTGCATTGGGAAGATCTCCCCATAACGAGAATTTACAAATAGGCAAATTTTTTAAAGTACTCCTATAGTTTTGTTTTAAAGTGTGCTCCATAGTAATACCCTTTTTGCTCACATGCCAGACCGAACCCTGTACAATGAATGTAATGGTTTTTAAAATCGATCTGAAGATCGAACTGGTTAGAGTCTAGTTACTGGGTCGAATGGTCCGATCATTTTAACCGAAGCATGATCCGTTCTAATAAAGATAAAAAAATAAAAATAAAAATAAAAAAGGTCAAAACCGTTCAAACGGTTAATGGCCCGATTCAATGGTTTACTGACCAAAATCAACGCTTTTTTTTTTTTTTGAGAAAAATCCGGTTTTTGGGGGAACGGACCGGTTTTTCCGGTCTGATCCGGTTTTGAAAACCATGGTGAATGCTATTTGCAGGGTGTACGGGATTTCCTCTTTACCAGATAATAAGACAGTTAGCTATGCCTATCTCCTGGTTACCACCCCTTAGATCCCAATAACATTGCTAAGGGATGCTACTCGAAGAGAAAGCTAGACCATTGAATAGAGAAGCCATCATTGACGAATTTCACGGTGGAAGTGATCAATGATGCAGATTTTCCTAATGCTAGTTTTGCAGATTTGGCCAAAGCAACACCAGATGATGAAGGCTGCCGAATGCCAAAAGAGTTTGTTGTCGATGGATTCATTTTCTTGAATTTTTTTATTGATTGAGTTTTATTTTGAAAATTTGAAAATTAGTGAAGGACAAATTCATAACTAACCAGTCTTCCCAGTAAAAACCTTTCAACCATCCTTTGGCATTGGCGGGAAACCCTGATCCTGAAGTGCGAAGTGAAAGAGCTTTGGAAACTCCATAGTCCGATGTGAGACGATAAGTCAGAACTGGCGGGTGAGAATTCGGATCGATTTGCCGCCTTGTGCATTTCTGTGGTCAGATACAAAAGGGTCATCCATCCCTTCCGACTCCCGTCAATTCTCTCTCTCTCTCTCTAGTCTCTCCTCTTAGAAAATCTTTTGAAGGGAAAACTACTGGGATGAGCATCGGAATGGGGAAATGCATCACTCCAGATGCCATTTCCAGCATACTAGCGAACCTTTCTCCCCATTCGTCTTCTGATGTTCTGGAAATCACTGTTCAAGTAGTCGATCTGAAGCAAGTCGGCAACAGATTCACGTGAGTTTTCTCCATCACTGTCTTTTCTTTTATTGGTTTCATTCAATGCAACTGCGGCATATTGTGTCTGTGTCGATTTCATTTTTTTTTTTTTAATTCCTTTGTTGAACTTCATGTTAACCAACTGAGGTTTCTGCCTTTCTGGTTGAAGAATATATGCACCATTATTTCTGGTTTTACATTTGGGTATCTTAGGTTCCTCATATACAGTGTACGCTACTTAGTGGATATTTATCTTTGTTACTTTTAATCGACGCCTTCGCCCTTTCTTGCTCCCTCAATTAATTCTTGCCTCTCCATTTTATGCTCTGCCCCTGCTGTTGTTTTGGCTTTGCTTCATTCCTTTCCGGATCCATAGATTTTCCTCAATTCATGCTTGAGCATTCCCTTTCCGCCAAGCAGATCAAAGCAAGTTAGAGAATTCTCCAATTTATCGTTTCTATGTTAATCGACATTTGTGTTCTGTTTTTAGCACCTTTGATCAAGCTATCAGAAGTACGGGAAGTTTCTTACTCCTGCTACTTGTTCGGATCACTAATTTCATGTTCTCCTCTGCTTAGCTGATCAAGTGTGTTTGCCAAGGGG